TGTGGAGCTTGTAATAAAATTCATTGTAGTCCAAAAAAAAAAAAGGCTTCTGCTAGCTGGGATAAGGTGTTAAATGTTTTATTTAGGATGTCAGAGGAAATTTCAGACAGAGGTGAAATTGAATCTACTTATCCCAAATTTCATTCTCGTGCCTTCACTAGCAGACAACCTTTCTCTCACTTTGCAGCTGCCTCCTTCCATTTTCTTGATACGTCTATATTGACAGTAATGTGTTCATTGGAGTGCAGAGCAGGACTGGAACTCACTTGCTCATTAGAACTACCCATGGTAGAACAGTGGGGTGAGTGCCCCTTTCTGTCGATATCAGGACCATTTCTGACCAGAGACCAAGGAATGGAAGCTGCTGCAGCAGCTCTTCTCAAGTGCTCCCCTTGGCAACAGAGATTCTCAACTGCAAAGCGCTTTGCATTATTGATATGGTACAGCATAACCTTAACAAATCAGGTATCTTCTCTTTGATGCTGATATATATTTGTATCTGCAGATTTAGTTGAGATGGTTTTTTCAAGCTGAGGCGCTAAAATAGCATTGGTCTTAAAGAAATCTTAATTTTCTGCAATATAATCTTAGTGAAGTCCTTTTCCTTGGAGCCTCTTGTGTTGGATTGAAAATTCTCTTTTGGTCCTGATGTCTGTTCCATATTTCCACATTCTAGTGAAAGGGCAGAAAGGGTCAGTATCGAGCAGCAGCAGGAAAAGAAGAAATAGGAAAAAAAAAATCCTGAGTACTTGGCTAGAATACTGCCTTTAAAATTCAACATTTAGAATCCCACCTGCGGAACAGCGGTAGTCATCTCTATATGTAGTGTTTCACAAAAGATTTCTAAACACTTCTGTAAAATTAAAAATATATTTCACCAGGTCAGTCTTGCATTTGGATGACTAAATGTTGGCTTGTGATGAGGCTGTGCGGATTTATTTTCATCAAAACACATTCACAGTTTGCAAATGTAATCATAATGCTCCTATTCAAGTGACGTATTAGAAGGCAAGAGTTCAATAAGTGTGTCAATCTGCTCTGTTTGACAGTAACATGTAAACTTAATGAGTTACCCAGAATGAAAAAACTTCAGGAATTGCCAAGGAAATGGGTTCTTTCACTAGCTTAAACAAAAACTTTGAAAATGTACAACCTAAAAGCACGTTTATTGTACCTCAGCTCTCCATCCATAGATGGCATATGCAGCACCAACTTGGGCTGTTTCCACAGTGAGATTTGGAGAAGAAAGTTAGAAATTCTCAAAACTTACAGAATGACATTTGCAAAGATGACAGGTGTATGAAATAGAGAGAATGTTTAATAAAAGGAAGGATTTGCCAGAGTTGAACAATTTTTAATCTCCAGAATTATTAAGAAAGAAAGTGGAAGTATTTGGGAATTCTTAGGATAAAATCTAGAGTGTCTGCAGGCGATGGTTTGTGACTGAAACAAGCTATTCAAAAGAATTTGTTCATCCAAAAAATACTTAACGAGCCTGCACTTTGTTTTCTAAATATGAAGAGGGCACACAGAGGGGCTGGCGAAGGCAGTAAGCGGGAGAGCCAGGGTTCCTATGGCATCGAGCTCCACCTGCTGCAGTATCGCTGTAGTTCAGTTCACCTAGAGGTGCTGGATGTGATCTCAAGAAAAACGACTGTAATCATTTTCATGGGAAACTTTTGGGTCGTTTCCTTGTGTAATCTCACTTTAGGTGATGTTTCACACATTACTTTATGATTTTTTTTTAAATTATTGTTTCTTACATATGGAGTTGTATGGTATTTTGTTACTTCGCTGTAATGAAAGCAGGAAATGATCACTGAAACAGGCCTTTTGATGGCTTAAAAGCAAATTAGATGAACTATGATGAAAGTCTTCATAAGTTGTAAACACTAAAAAAAAAACCCCAACATCCAAACTCCAAAGATTGTTCAGATTGTCATGGTAATATATTGCTGAGTTTAACAAGTTAGACATACCAGTATTGTTATCTCTCATTTTTTATATCTACACTGCAAATTAAAAAGATAGAGTTCTGTTCTATAATGATGTACTGTTACACTTTTACGCTCAGAATGCACCTTTTCAATACATGCCATTGAAATGAAAGATAATGTTGTAGAAAAGGAAGCTATTCCCTTCTGTCTTCTGTGACAAGGCTGATTGAATCACAGTATTGGTGCCTGAGTGGAGGGGGTGGCGTATGCGACACCTCCCTCCCTGAGCAGCTGTGCAAAGCTTAGGTAGGTTCACAGTGTTTTTTCCTTTCCTCATGAACTGGCAGAGCTGCCTGGCCAGAGGTGGGATGCAGGGAAATATTGCACCTGGGAAAACTTTTCTTCAGTGCTCTGTGGCATTAGACGTCTGAAATGAATGTAGCTAAATGGCTCCAGACCCTATGCTAGTGGTGCTTCCAAGCCATTTAAACCCATTGAACCCATCAGGGCTGCATTCCACCACTCTTCCTTCTCTTGAGTAGTAAGTTGTTCTGAGAGACTCTCAATTGGTTTTAATCATGTTATTCAAGGTATCGCCAGCTGCAAAAGCAAGGGTACCTGACTATTGTCAACATTTTGTTGCTTCTGCAAAAAAAAAAAATTGTCAGGAGCAAAGCAGACTGGAAATTCTGCTGTTCCAGTGTGCGAGATGCTTCTGCTCCAAGTTCAAATTGGATTTCTTGTAGCTTTCTTTTTAAATATAGACAATGTGTGCAATTTGAAAAAAGAAAAAATAGGCATCCCACCAGCATCAGTCTGCTGCATGCTATTCACAGAGCGGAGAATATGAGAACTGGTACAGGTTTACAGTGTTTGGTTTTGTTGCGTATTGCACTGTGGGATGATGGTGTGGTGGTTACCATTACAGATTACAAATAGCCATGCAATGCAGAGAAGGTAGCCGTATGGAAATAGTAATAGAAGAGGAGACAGAAGATTAAAGGATGTCCAAATACTTGGAATTTCTTCAGGTTTTCATTGTACTCTCAAACAAATGTGTGGCCTGATACAAATTAAATACTGGCCAAAACACGAGAACTTTTCCAATTTCAAAACCAAAGTGTTTCTGAACCAGCGTCTCTGAAAGTGTTTCGCCTACAAAATCCTCTGTTCCATCCGTCTGGCACCTTCCTACCTTTGAGAGTACTCTGAAATTTAGAAAGGTAGCGTCTTTTAGAGTAACTTATGTTCTGGATAGATCATTTGTGTTCATGAATATACGGGAATGTAGTTATGAATATTTCAGACTTCTTATGCTGGAAATTTGTGTTTTTTTAAAGAAAAAAGGGTTTTGTTTGGCAATTTATTTCTAAAATCCCACCTACTTTTGAAAGCCTGTTTTCACAAAGACATTGAGTATTCAGAATCTGGTTCTCACTACAAATGGTTAAAATAAATAACTTTGGTCTTTGGAAAAATTATACCAAATATTGACGATTAAATTTATGTAAGGATAAATAGCTAAAATTTGTTTTCGCTGAAGTTCTGTGTAACAGACTCTCCATACTGAATGCGTACTCATCCCCAGTAATCTCTAATGACTCACATTTCCTATAGGTGAAGTATGGGTGCCCACTCAGGCTGTAAAATGATTCCTCTGATGCCGTGAAAAGTGGAAATTTGACATTCACGGGTATCACCTCTCTCATTCAGTGCATGAATGTGTTTTTCTCAATCCCTGAGGTGGGCTCTGGGGTATGTTGGGAGCCCTCCGTGAGCCTTGTGCTGCTGAGCAGTGTCGGTTTGCCATCTGTCTCTGCTGCTGATCAGTCTTGGTCAAGTGCACTCCAGCCTCATGAAACAGCGGAGCCTTCAGGCTTCTCTTTGATGTTTCATTAGTTCATCCTTATACTCTGTCTGCAGAAAACCTGCTTTCCATTCCAGCTACTTTGCTCTTAGTACCATTTTTGGGTTTGAGGTTGTTTGGGGTGTTTTTCACCAGTTTTCTATTTATTTGTGGTCTGCCTCAGTCATTACATTAGAACATTCGTGTTTGCAGTTCTCCAGTGGCAGAAGATACTGTTCCTTACACTTTGAACCTTTGTTCAGCTGGAATGTTACACAGGAACATAAATTTTGAAGGAATTTTCTGTCTTCTCAAGTCAATATTCCAACAAATAAAATGCGCTGCTCTTGAGTTTTGTTGAGGTTTTTTTAAATACTTGAATATTTCCAGGCTTTGCTCTGTTGTGGGAAAACTGTACAGCATAGCAAGTATTTCATCTGCAGCTCTGAGTCTGCTATGCAGCCTTTTTTGTACATCAGCTCTACCCTGACTACATGGATGTGACTTGCTAGGGGCTCCAGCTTTGCTTTGCTTGGAATCAATAAATGAGCTCTTTGATCTAAAACTAGTGCAGAAAGAAATTACTGTTTTCATATCCTTTTAACATGAGCATCATACACTGCTGAGTGATCTAAAGTCTTTTAGTAATTTACCTATACATTTTTTTTAATGGGAGGGAATATGTCTTCTTTCCACTTGAATAAACTGAGGGTTGAAGGAGTTCTAAAAGTGTGCCTGTGTTTGACTTCAGGGCTTTTTGAGTCTGTGCCTTCCTTGTCGGTGAAAGCACAGACCCAAGAATAGTGGTCTATCACAGTGTGTATCTTCAGGGAAGAGCAATTACAGGTAAGTAATTTCCTACTCCTGGTTTTGGAAATCGGATTTCTTTTTATGTTAGCCACAGTAGTCTATATAATAGTCTTTCAAGAGAAAAGTTAGATTTTCTCAGCATTTAAGCATAGAGATTTACAAAGCATGTATGCATTTTGCACAGTAACTTGTCAGCAGGTACTTCATATAAGAATCTATTTGTGCACCAGAGTTACTTAGTGACATTTTAAGTTTTTCTATAATAGACTAGCTGTTATTTTTGCTTTAGTTTGCATTGCTGTAGAAAAATGTATTTTCATCACGTAATTTTGAAAATTACGGCCTGCTACAGTACAGGTAACTAGCAGTATTTCAGATATGGTTACATGTGTTTGTTCATTTTTTAGGAACCAGTGAAAAAAGATGTGCAGGAAAAACCACCTGAAAAATTGGCTGAGGTTGCTACTATCATAGAATCATAGAAAGTTTTGGGTTGGAAGGGACCCTAGAGGTCATCTAGTCCAACCCCCCCACAGCGAGCAGGGACACC